TTTTTTTTTTTTTAACCAAATTTTTTTCTTTTACACTTTCCTTCAGTTTCTCGTCCACCAAACGCTGGCCTCTATTGAGGAAAACAATCCTAGTTGAGTCAATACAATCACGGAGGCAGACATTGTTGACAAGTTCACACCCTCATATATACAAGGCAGCCACGGATTCTATTCTACTTTTTATCTTTTGATCAACAAAGAAAAAGTGATATATTATTAAAATTGAAATGTAAGAGGTATTTCTATTGACAAAAATTCTATTCAGATCTTATTTATTTGTAAATATTAAATTTCCATTAACAGTTAATTGTTGACTTGCAGCTATATATATATACAGTATCTTGCTAGCTATGAATATCATCATCTCTTCCAGTCTTCCGCAATTATCAAACCTTAAAAAACCTGTTAATTAGTGATTGATTCATAATAATGTATGTACCTTTATAATTTCCTTTTGATTTTTTTTTTTTTCATATCGAAAAGATAGTTATTTGGTATTATAAATATTTGAATTAAAAAGAATAATTTTTTTTTAACTCATAAAACTTCATGTAGAGACTTTAGCTACTGGGATAGAAATATGGAGAATATTTCTTATTATAGAGCAAGGATGAAGATAATTTTTTTCCAAATAAAATTTTTTTCTACTTCACATCTCTTCATGGGATCCATATATAATAAAAAATATATAAATTTATATTTTTATAAATTTTAATATATTTATAAAAAAAATTAATTTTTACCTAACTCAAATTGCTAGCAGCCAGTCCAATTTCTCTTCCTCAACCCAATGATAAGAATTTTTTCTAAGATTATGTTAATTTGGAGTACTTTTTTGAAAAAGTTATTTCTTCAACTTAAATTTGTTGATCAAAAGCTTGAATTATTGTTGGACTACTACAATGTTGCCTTGCTAGATGTAGCAAGATGGATGTTTATGTATCTGTTAGTTTTAAATTTCTTCATCCTTTTTGGTGTTATTTACGGCTTTGCTGGATTATTGAATGTTTATTAATTATCTAATTATGTAAAACTTATTTATTATATGGAGAGAATCCTTATAGTGTTTGTGAAAATTTTGACATGATTCTTACTTTTGTATTTTTTTTTTATTTTTATGTCTTATGATTTACTCTCTACGTAATATTATAAAATTTATTTATAAAAAATCTTAACATTTTAATTGTCCAAGATATCTTAATTTTTTGTAATCTTTAAAACTAATTAATTAAATACCTTTAATAAATCATTTAAACAATTTCACAAATGCTTTTACATTTTTTGAAAAATATATCTGAAAATAGACTTCTCTTTCTATAAATAAAAAGAAACAGACAGAATTTAAAACAATTTTATTTTCCACAACATGTATGTATAATTTATTCCCACCAGAAGAGGCACACATGAATCCGATGAATGAGCTTGGTCTTTCTACCGCTCTTGTAAGGTTTATATCCTCTTTTTAAGGCAACGGTTCGAGTCGGTCCATGATAAAATGTTAAAAAAAAAAAAAAATATTCTGAAATTTAGCATGATTAT